GAAAAGAAGGCATAATTTGCTAGTTAACTAAACAAAAAAAAAAAAAGACAGCGTATACATTTGTAAATAGTCGAAACCAACCGTCCTTTTCAGGACGACCAAAAATATTAAAAAAGAGATTATCTTTTCATTCGATAGGGTATCCGAAATCGATTCAATAATACAAAGTACAGTCGTGCTAGTCGATAAAAATGTGTAATATTGTCTTATGGAATGCGGTTGTCTTACTTTTGTGATAGATAAAAAACAAGCACAAAATATGTAAAACAAACGAACATCGGTGAGTCCTTGCGATTGCTGGAGCAGTGTCGGGAGCGATTGATGGAGAAACGTTTGTCAGCTTGACCATTGCCGGGTGCGTTGTTTTACCCAACATCCAAGCAGTTCTGTTGCCCAAGAAGGCATTATGTTAAAAAAAGGCATAATTTGCTAGTTAACGAAACTAAAAAAAAAAGCGTATTCTTCGTAAATAGTTGAAACAACCGTCCTTTTCAGGACGACCAAAAATATTTAAAAAGAGATTATCTTTTCATTCAATAGGGTATCCGAAATCGATTCAATAATACAAAGTACATCTCAGCTCAAAAGTACAGTCGTGCTAGTCGCTAAAAATGTGCAAATTGTCCTATCGAATGCGGTTGTCATACGTTTGTGATGGATTAAAAACAAGCACAAAATATGTAAAACAAACGAACATCGGTGATTCTGGTCGATTAATGGAGCAGTGTCGGGAGCGGTTGATTCTGAGATGGAGAAACGTTTGACGCTTGAATACATCACATTTTAGACATTCATATGATCTGTGCTTGCTTCTTTCATTAAGGTTGAATTAAACGTTTTTGATCTCTTAATAAAACGGATTGGTGGTCCTGAAAAGGACCGATTGGTGTCAACATAAATTCTACATTTTCTTTTTAACCGCCAAAACCGTACAGGGTACGGCCTTGTCTTTTCAGCGCGTAAACAACATCCATGGCTGTGACTGTCTTCCTCTTGGCGTGCTCGGTGTATGTGACCGCATCACGGATAACATTTTCCAAGAAAACTTTTAGAACACCACGAGTTTCCTCATAAATAAGACCAGAAATACGTTTTACGCCACCACGACGAGCTAAACGGCGGATAGCTGGTTTCGTGATGCCCTGAATATTATCACGCAACACTTTGCGATGACGTTTGGCGCCGCCTTTACCCAAGCCTTTGCCACCTTTACCACGACCAGTCATTTTTCACTTTATATTTTTATTCTACTTTACACCACGAATGTCACAAAGATACTAATGCTAGCTCTTCAGCCAGCGCTTATATTTATACCAAAAATATCCAAAACTCGAGCGAGTAAAAAAATATTTCCATCTCGCTCACACACTACCCTCGTAACATATTCGGCAAAGCGACGAACAGCAAATATCTTTCGTTCTCTTTCTAACTTATCACGTATTTTCTATATAAGCGATACACAAACGAGACACATGCTCAGTGTGTTTTTAACAGTGACTGTGTAAAGTTAGAATTGTGAAAGAAAGATGGCTCGTACTAAGCAAACTGCTCGTAAATCAACTGGAGGAAAGGCTCCTCGGAAACAGTTAGCTACTAAGGCAGCACGTAAAAGTGCTCCAGCAACTGGTGGTGTGAAGAAACCTCATCGCTATAGGCCAGGCACTGTTGCCCTGCGTGAAATTCGTCGCTACCAGAAGAGCACGGAACTGCTTATTCGCAAGTTGCCGTTCCAGCGTTTAGTACGCGAAATTGCTCAGGACTTCAAGACCGACTTACGTTTCCAGAGCTCGGCTGTGATGGCTTTGCAGGAAGCTAGCGAAGCCTATCTAGTTGGCCTATTCGAAGATACAAATTTGTGTGCTATCCACGCTAAGCGTGTCACCATCATGCCCAAGGACATTCAACTGGCCAGACGTATTCGTGGGGAGCGCGCTTAAGTTATACCTCATCCTTAAAACATAAATATCAAACAAATCGGTCCTTTTCAGGACCACAAAATATTCTAAACAAGGAGATTGATATTTTCCAATATACAACTTGAAATATGTACATCATACCAAAAAAGACAACAACACATTGTGACAGAAATAATCTAAAAAAAAAAAACGATTTTCTGTCACCGAATTTTATTTGCAATATCATGCTCGAAAAACTACGCGTTTGCCTATTGAAACATTTTTCAGCTAGAATTCCAGAAGAGAGCTGATGGATTATTTGCAAAAGATATTACTAGTCGGAAGATTTTTATTCGGGTAGTTTGGAATACTGATCCTTTGCTGTAGCCAACGGATAATAAGTTATCTTTTTTATTTCGAAAACAGAGTGCTTGTATTCTAAAATAACGAGTCCAAACTTTCGTCGATTACAATTGTTAATTTTCTGAAAGATATATCTATATTCTGATATTTAAAAATATTTTAAATTCCTTGAAAAGGCGATTTGTGGCCCTGAAAAGGGCCTTTTGCTTTTGTTTGCTTCCCGTACAATGTACATCTAGCTGAATTTTACTTGGAGCTGGTGTACTTTGTAACTGCTTTTGTTCCCTCACTGACAGCGTGCTTGGCCAATTCGCCGGGCAGCAAAAGACGTACTGCGGTTTGGATTTCCCGACTGGTAATAGTTGAGCGTTTGTTGTAGTGAGCCAAACGGGAGGCCTCGGCAGCAATACGCTCGAAAATGTCGTTAACAAAGCTGTTCATTATGCTCATCGCCTTTGACGAAATGCCGGTGTCAGGGTGGACCTGCTTGAGCACTTTGTAAATGTAGATAGCATAGCTTTCCTTCCTCTTGCGCTTCTTCTTCTTGTCATTCTTGGTAATGTTTTTTTGAGCCTTACCAGCCTTTTTGGCTGCCTTCCCACTTGTTTTCGGCGGCATTATTATTCACAAACGTTCACTTTAATTCACTTCACAAATGTTTGACACTTGGGGTGTGTTGCTTAGCATTTATACTTTTTTTCGAGCGACGCTTTCATGTTTATATCACGTTCAATTCGCATCTCTAAAACTGAAGAAGTAGGTAGTTGGAAAAAGTATAAATATAATGGATATGTGGTTGGATGTCAGAAACATTCGATAGTTGTTTGTAAGCAGTGAAACAGTGAAATAAGGAAAATACGAAAATGTCTGGTCGCGGTAAAGGTGGAAAAGTGAAGGGAAAGGCAAAGTCGCGTTCTAACCGCGCTGGTCTTCAGTTTCCCGTTGGTCGTATTCACCGCCTCCTTCGTAAGGGCAACTATGCTGAACGTGTTGGTGCCGGTGCTCCTGTCTACTTGGCTGCCGTTATGGAATATTTGGCCGCTGAAGTTTTGGAGTTGGCTGGCAATGCTGCACGCGACAACAAGAAAACTAGAATTATCCCTCGCCACTTGCAATTGGCCATTCGTAACGATGAGGAGTTAAACAAACTGCTTTCGGGCGTCACCATTGCCCAGGGCGGTGTTTTACCCAACATCCAAGCAGTTCTGTTGCCCAAGAAGACGGAAAAGAAGGCATAATTTGCTAGTTAACTAAACAAAAAAAAAAAAGACAGCGTATACATTTGTAAATAGTCGAAACCAACCGTCCTTTTCAGGACGACCAAAAATATTAAAAAAGAGATTATCTTTTCATTCGATAGGGTATCCGAAATCGATTCAATAATACAAAGTACAGTCGTGCTAGTCGATAAAAATGTGTAATATTGTCTTATGGAATGCGGTTGTCTTACTTTTGTGATAGATAAAAAACAAGCACAAAATATGTAAAACAAACGAACATCGGTGAATCTTGTCGATTGCTGGAGCAGTGTCGGGAGCGGTTGATTCTTAGATGGAGAAGCGTTTGACAGCTTGACCATTGCCCTGGGCGTTGTTTTACCCAACATCCAAGCAGTTCTGTTGCCCAAGAAGGCATTATGTTAAAAAAAGGCATAATTTGCTAGTTAACGAAACTAAAAAAAAAAAAGCGTATTCTTCGTAAATAGTTGAAACCAACCGTCCTTTTCAGGACGACCAAAAATATTTAAAAAGAGATTATCTTTTCATTCAATAGGGTATCCGAAATCGATTCAATAATACAAAGTACATCTCAGCTCAAAAGTACAGTCGTGCTAGTCGCTAAAAATGTGCAAATTGTCCTATCGAATGCGGTTGTCATACGTTTGTGATGGATTAAAAACAAGCACAAAATATGTAAAACAAACGAACATCGGTGATTCTGGTCGATTAATGGAGCAGTGTCGGGAGCGGTTGATTCTGAGATGGAGAAACGTTTGACGCTTGAATACATCACATTTTAGACATTCATATGATCTGTGCTTGCTTCTTTCATTAAGGTTGAATTAAACGTTTTTGATCTCTTAATAAAACGGATTAGTGGTCCTGAAAAGGACCGATTGGTGTCAACATAAATTCTACATTTTCTTTTTAACCGCCAAAACCGTACAGGGTACGGCCTTGTCTTTTCAGCGCGTAAACAACATCCATGGCTGTGACTGTCTTCCTCTTGGCGTGCTCGGTGTATGTGACCGCATCACGGATAACATTTTCCAAGAAAACTTTTAGAACACCACGAGTTTCCTCATAAATAAGACCAGAAATACGTTTTACGCCACCACGACGAGCTAAACGGCGGATAGCTGGTTTCGTGATGCCCTGAATATTATCACGCAACACTTTGCGATGACGTTTGGCGCCCCCTTTACCCAAGCCTTTGCCACCTTTACCACGACCAGTCATTTTTCACTTTATATTTTTATTCTACTTTACACCACGAATGTCACAAAGATACTAATGCTAGCTCTTCAGCCAGCGCTTATATTTATACCAAAAATATCCAAAACTCGAGCGAGTAAAAAAATATTTCCATCTCGCTCACACACTACCCTCGTAACATATTCGGCAAAGCGACGAACAGCAAATATCTTTCGTTCTCTTTCTAACTTATCACGTATTTTCTATATAAGCGATACACAAACGAGACACATGCTCAGTATGTTTTTAACAGTGACTGTGTAAAGTTAGAATTGTGAAAGAAAGATGGCTCGTACTAAGCAAACTGCTCGTAAATCAACTGGAGGAAAGGCTCCTCGGAAACAGTTAGCTACTAAGGCAGCACGTAAAAGTGCTCCAGCAACTGGTGGTGTGAAGAAACCTCATCGCTATAGGCCAGGCACTGTTGCCCTGCGTGAAATTCGTCGCTACCAGAAGAGCACGGAACTGCTTATTCGCAAGTTGCCGTTCCAGCGTTTAGTACGCGAAATTGCTCAGGACTTCAAGACCGACTTACGTTTCCAGAGCTCGGCTGTGATGGCTTTGCAGGAAGCTAGCGAAGCCTATCTAGTTGGCCTATTCGAAGATACAAATTTGTGTGCTATCCACGCTAAGCGTGTCACCATCATGCCCAAGGACATTCAACTGGCCAGACGTATTCGTGGGGAGCGCGCTTAAGTTATACCTCATCCTTAATATCAAACAAATCGGTCCTTTTCAGGACCACAAAATATTCTAAACAAGGAGATTGATATTTTCGTATCAATATATTAAATACCGAAGTGCAGTCGAAAAACATTGGTTAAAAGTCAAACAAAACTGCATTTTCATTTTGTCTTGAATAAAAAAAGCTCGGACCTCGAGCCTGCCAAACAAACAATTTTGAAATGGAAAGGTCGCCAAATACAACATTATATTAAATAGCTTTATAAAATGTGACAATAAGCAAATAGGGCATTACAGTATTTGCTTCACCTCATTGTATCTTAACGATAAATCCATATGCATATTATTTAATATTTAACCGAAAACTCAACTCCATTATATTCCACCGACAAAATATATGTCGATGTATAGATGATTTTCTGAATAGCTATATAAAGCATTTGGTTTGGTCCTCATCACCGCAAATAAACATAATTTTTAATTTTTCATCAATCAATTGTGCTCTAAGAGATAATTTCTGAATTTCGAAAATAAATTAACTAAGGGTCTAATGGATTTTTCGCTACACAGAAATGTCATATGGATTTCGCATGATATTTTATTAATTTAGTTTCAACTATATTAACAATTTGTTTTACTAAATGGAATAATCTTTCATTTCCTTTTTTTTTTTAATTTATATTAACTGTTAAAGACAAAATTAGATTTGTCTGAAGCGTTTTATATTGATTTCATTGTAAACTTGCCTGTTTTTAACAGCTAAGGGTTATGTTAAATAGATATTTAAAATAGTAGACTTAAGATATATTTAAATTAATAGTTGAATTTAATTAAAGAATTGTTGAAATATTGTATATAAATGCATAATATTTCAAGATTCGTTATATTATTATTAATAATCGTGTTTTTTGCTCGAAAACGTTTTTCGCCAAGACACAAAGTTAAACTTTGACTGGCAATTAAAAATCATAAAATCATGTTAAATACACTAAATAATTTATATTGTATTGTTTGAATATTAAACAAAACATTCCAATTCATATTCACAACGATTTCCAAGTATAAACTTTTGTAAATGACCATTTAACAAGTATGTAATGACGACGCATTGAGTAACAAACGTTCAATACCAAAAACATTCTCGTACCACCGTCCTCCTCGATTCTCACGCAAACGGGTGACCAAAAAAATATGAATTTTTTCGAAAATTAACAAGTGAACAGTGAATAAAGTGAAGTTAAGATGTCTGATTCCGCAGTTGCAACGTCCGCATCTCCTGTGATTGCCCAAGCAGCGTCAGGCGAGAAAAAGGTGGCTACTAAAAAGGCAGCAGCCGCCACACCAAAGTCAAAGAAGTCAGCAGCTCCTCCATCGCACCCACCAACTCAGCAAATGGTAGATGCATCGATTAAAAACTTAAAGGAACGTGGTGGCTCATCCCTTCTGGCAATTAAAAAATATATCGGTGCTACATACAAGTGCGATGCCCAGAAGCTAGCCCCGTTCATTAAGAAGTACCTAAAGAATGCGGTTGCGAATGGAAAGCTGATCCAAACAAAGGGCAAGGGTGCCTCTGGTTCGTTCAAACTATCTGCATCCGCTAAAAAGGATCCCAAGCCAAAGGCCTCCGCTGTCGAGAAGAAAACTAAGAAGGTAAATGCTTCGGCGGCAGCAGCAACTAAAAAGAAGAGTAGTACATCTACCACGAAGAAAGCAGCGGGTGCCGCTGATAAAAAGCCATCAAAATCGGCAGCAACCAAAAAGAGTGTTGAGAAAAAGAAGGCGGACAAAGCAAAGGCTAAGGATGCGAAGAAAACGGGAACCATTAAGGCCAAGCCTACAACAGCAAAGGCTAAATCAAGCGCAACAAAGCCAAAGACCCCAAAACCTAAGACCACAACTGCTAAACCGAAGAAAGTCGTGTCGGCTACGACCCCGAAGAAAACTGCTGTCAAGAAGCCAAAAGCGAAGACTGCATCTGCAACGAAGAAATAATTTGAAATTGCTCGTCAGCATGTGCAAATTTCTAATATTGAAATTTGTTTTTCAACAAAGCCCTTTTAAGGGCTACAAATACGATTTTCTAAGAGAAAGAATTTTTCTTTTTGTCTACATCGGCATATATGTTAAGTTAGATTGGACTTGTCAACTTATCATCATTCATCATTGTAAATATCATATAAGTTCTTTCCTCATTCATTCCACCGCACAATAGATAGAAAAAGTTCCATAAATACTAAAGATTCTCTAAAGACCGCATAGACGGAAAGTGTACTCTAATATTTAAGATAATAGAAAAGTTCTTATAACGCAACCAGAATGCATATAAGATATTTTGATTTTTAAATATTTTTAATTCCTTGAAAAGTCGATTTGTGGCCCTGAAAAGGGCCTTTTGCTTTTGTTTGCTTCCCGTACAATGTACATCTAGCTGAATTTTACTTGGAGCTGGTGTACTTTGTAACTGCTTTTGTTCCCTCACTGACAGCGTGCTTGGCCAATTCGCCGGGCAGCAAAAGACGTACTGCGGTTTGGATTTCCCGACTGGTAATAGTTGAGCGTTTGTTGTAGTGAGCCAAACGGGAGGCCTCGGCAGCAATACGCTCGAAAATGTCGTTAACAAAGCTGTTCATTATGCTCATCGCCTTTGACGAAATGCCGGTGTCAGGGTGGACCTGCTTGAGCACTTTGTAAATGTAGATAGCATAGCTTTCCTTCCTCTTGCGCTTCTTCTTCTTGTCATTCTTGGTAATGTTTTTTTGAGCCTTACCAGCCTTTTTGGCTGCCTTCCCACTTGTTTTCGGCGGCATTATTATTCACAAACGTTCACTTTAATTCACTTCACAAATGTTTGACACTTAAGGGTGTGTTGCTTAGCATTTATACTTTTTTTCGAGCGACGCTTTCATGTTTATATCACGTTCAATTCGCATCTCTAAAACTGAAGAAGTAGGTAGTTGGAAAAAGTATAAATATAATGGATATGTGGTTGGATATCAGAAACATTCGATAGTTGTGTGTAAGCAGTGAAACAGTGAAATAAGGAAAATACGAAAATGTCTGGTCGCGGTAAAGGTGGAAAAGTGAAGGGAAAGGCAAAGTCGCGTTCTAACCGCGCTGGTCTTCAGTTTCCCGTTGGTCGTATTCACCGCCTCCTTCGTAAGGGCAACTATGCTGAACGTGTTGGTGCCGGTGCTCCTGTCTACTTGGCTGCCGTTATGGAATATTTGGCCGCTGAAGTTTTGGAGTTGGCTGGCAATGCTGCACGCGACAACAAGAAAACTAGAATTATTCCTCGCCACTTGCAATTGGCCATTCGTAACGATGAGGAGTTAAACAAACTGCTTTCGGGCGTCACCATTGCCCAGGGCGGTGTTTTACCCAACATCCAAGCAGTTCTGTTGCCCAAGAAGACGGAAAAGAAGGCATAATTTGCTAGTTAACTAAACAAAAAAAAAAAAAGACAGCGTATACATTTGTAAATAGTCGAAACCAACCGTCCTTTTCAGGACGACCAAAAATATTAAAAAAGAGATTATCTTTTCATTCGATAGGGTATCCGAAATCGATTCAATAATACAAAGTACAGTCGTGCTAGTCGATAAAAATGTGTAATATTGTCTTATGGAATGCGGTTGTCTTACTTTTGTGATAGATAAAAAACAAGCACAAAATATGTAAAACAAACGAACATCGGTGAATCTTGTCGATTGCTGGAGCAGTGTCGGGAGCGGTTGATTCTTAGATGGAGAAGCGTTTGACAGCTTGACCATTGCCCTGGGCGTTGTTTTACCCAACATCCAAGCAGTTCTGTTGCCCAAGAAGGCATTATGTTAAAAAAAGGCATAATTTGCTAGTTAACGAAACTAAAAAAAAAAAAGCGTATTCTTCGTAAATAGTTGAAACCAACCGTCCTTTTCAGGACGACCAAAAATATTTAAAAAGAGATTATCTTTTCATTCAATAGGGTATCCGAAATCGATTCAATAATACAAAGTACATCTCAGCTCAAAAGTACAGTCGTGCTAGTCGCTAAAAATGTGCAAATTGTCCTATCGAATGCGGTTGTCATACGTTTGTGATGGATTAAAAACAAGCACAAAATATGTAAAACAAACGAACATCGGTGATTCTGGTCGATTAATGGAGCAGTGTCGGGAGCGGTTGATTCTGAGATGGAGAAACGTTTGACGCTTGAATACATCACATTTTAGACATTCATATGATCTGTGCTTGCTTCTTTCATTAAGGTTGAATTAAACGTTTTTGATCTCTTAATAAAACGGATTAGTGGTCCTGAAAAGGACCGATTGGTGTCAACATAAATTCTACATTTTCTTTTTAACCGCCAAAACCGTACAGGGTACGGCCTTGTCTTTTCAGCGCGTAAACAACATCCATGGCTGTGACTGTCTTCCTCTTGGCGTGCTCGGTGTATGTGACCGCATCACGGATAACATTTTCCAAGAAAACTTTTAGAACACCACGAGTTTCCTCATAAATAAGACCAGAAATACGTTTTACGCCACCACGACGAGCTAAACGGCGGATAGCTGGTTTCGTGATGCCCTGAATATTATCACGCAACACTTTGCGATGACGTTTGGCGCCGCCTTTACCCAAGCCTTTGCCACCTTTACCACGACCAGTCATTTTTCACTTTATATTTTTATTCTACTTTACACCACGAATGTCACAAAGATACTAATGCTAGCTCTTCAGCCAGCGCTTATATTTATACCAAAAATATCCAAAACTCGAGCGAGTAAAAAAATATTTCCATCTCGCTCACACACTACCCTCGTAACATATTCGGCAAAGCGACGAACAGCAAATATCTTTCGTTCTCTTTCTAACTTATCACGTATTTTCTATATAAGCGATACACAAACGAGACACATGCTCAGTGTGTTTTTAACAGTGACTGTGTAAAGTTAGAATTGTGAAAGAAAGATGGCTCGTACTAAGCAAACTGCTCGTAAATCAACTGGAGGAAAGGCTCCTCGGAAACAGTTAGCTACTAAGGCAGCACGTAAAAGTGCTCCAGCAACTGGTGGTGTGAAGAAACCTCATCGCTATAGGCCAGGCACTGTTGCCCTGCGTGAAATTCGTCGCTACCAGAAGAGCACGGAACTGCTTATTCGCAAGTTGCCGTTCCAGCGTTTAGTACGCGAAATTGCTCAGGACTTCAAGACCGACTTACGTTTCCAGAGCTCGGCTGTGATGGCTTTGCAGGAAGCTAGCGAAGCCTATCTAGTTGGCCTATTCGAAGATACAAATTTGTGTGCTATCCACGCTAAGCGTGTCACCATCATGCCCAAGGACATTCAACTGGCCAGACGTATTCGTGGGGAGCGCGCTTAAGTTATACCTCATCCTTAAAACATAAATATCAAACAAATCGGTCCTTTTCAGGACCACAAAATATTCTAAACAAGGAGATTGATATTTTCCAATATACAACTTGAAATATGTACATCATACCAAAAAAGACAACAACACATTGTGACAGAAATAATCTAAAAAAAAAAAACGATTTTCTGTCACCGAATTTTATTTGCAATATCATGCTCGAAAAACTACGCGTTTGCCTATTGAAACATTTTTCAGCTAGAATTCCAGAAGAGAGCTGATGGATTATTTGCAAAAGATATTACTAGTCGGAAGATTTTTATTCGGGTAGTTTGGAATACTGATCCTTTGCTGTAGCCAACGGATAATAAGTTATCTTTTTTATTTCGAAAACAGAGTGCTTGTATTCTAAAATAACGAGTCCAAACTTTCGTCGATTACAATTGTTAATTTTCTGAAAGATATATCTATATTCTGATATTTAAAAATATTTTAAATTCCTTGAAAAGGCGATTTGTGGCCCTGAAAAGGGCCTTTTGCTTTTGTTTGCTTCCCGTACAATGTACATCTAGCTGAATTTTACTTGGAGCTGGTGTACTTTGTAACTGCTTTTGTTCCCTCACTGACAGCGTGCTTGGCCAATTCGCCGGGCAGCAAAAGACGTACTGCGGTTTGGATTTCCCGACTGGTAATAGTTGAGCGTTTGTTGTAGTGAGCCAAACGGGAGGCCTCGGCAGCAATACGCTCGAAAATGTCGTTAACAAAGCTGTTCATTATGCTCATCGCCTTTGACGAAATGCCGGTGTCAGGGTGGACCTGCTTGAGCACTTTGTAAATGTAGATAGCATAGCTTTCCTTCCTCTTGCGCTTCTTCTTCTTGTCATTCTTGGTAATGTTTTTTTGAGCCTTACCAGCCTTTTTGGCTGCCTTCCCACTTGTTTTCGGCGGCATTATTATTCACAAACGTTCACTTTAATTCACTTCACAAATGTTTGACACTTAAGGGTGTGTTGCTTAGCATTTATACTTTTTTTCGAGCGACGCTTTCATGTTTATATCACGTTCAATTCGCATCTCTAAAACTGAAGAAGTAGGTAGTTGGAAAAAGTATAAATATAATGGATATGTGGTTGGATATCAGAAACATTCGATAGTTGTGTGTAAGCAGTGAAACAGTGAAATAAGGAAAATACGAAAATGTCTGGTCGCGGTAAAGGTGGAAAAGTGAAGGGAAAGGCAAAGTCGCGTTCTAACCGCGCTGGTCTTCAGTTTCCCGTTGGTCGTATTCACCGCCTCCTTCGTAAGGGCAACTATGCTGAACGTGTTGGTGCCGGTGCTCCTGTCTACTTGGCTGCCGTTATGGAATATTTGGCCGCTGAAGTTTTGGAGTTGGCTGGCAATGCTGCACGCGACAACAAGAAAACTAGAATTATTCCTCGCCACTTGCAATTGGCCATTCGTAACGATGAGGAGTTAAACAAACTGCTTTCGGGCGTCACCATTGCCCAGGGCGGTGTTTTACCCAACATCCAAGCAGTTCTGTTGCCCAAGAAGACGGAAAAGAAGGCATAATTTGCTAGTTAACTAAACAAAAAAAAAAAAAGACAGCGTATACATTTGTAAATAGTCGAAACCAACCGTCCTTTTCAGGACGACCAAAAATATTAAAAAAGAGATTATCTTTTCATTCGATAGGGTATCCGAAATCGATTCAATAATACAAAGTACAGTCGTGCTAGTCGATAAAAATGTGTAATATTGTCTTATGGAATGCGGTTGTCTTACTTTTGTGATAGATAAAAAACAAGCACAAAATATGTAAAACAAACGAACATCGGTGAATCTTGTCGATTGCTGGAGCAGTGTCGGGAGCGGTTGATTCTTAGATGGAGAAGCGTTTGACAGCTTGACCATTGCCCTGGGCGTTGTTTTACCCAACATCCAAGCAGTTCTGTTGCCCAAGAAGGCATTATGTTAAAAAAAGGCATAATTTGCTAGTTAACGAAACTAAAAAAAAAAAAGCGTATTCTTCGTAAATAGTTGAAACCAACCGTCCTTTTCAGGACGACCAAAAATATTTAAAAAGAGATTATCTTTTCATTCAATAGGGTATCCGAAATCGATTCAATAATACAAAGTACATCTCAGCTCAAAAGTACAGTCGTGCTAGTCGCTAAAAATGTGCAAATTGTCCTATCGAATGCGGTTGTCATACGTTTGTGATGGATTAAAAACAAGCACAAAATATGTAAAACAAACGAACATCGGTGATTCTGGTCGATTAATGGAGCAGTGTCGGGAGCGGTTGATTCTGAGATGGAGAAACGTTTGACGCTTGAATACATCACATTTTAGACATTCATATGATCTGTGCTTGCTTCTTTCATTAAGGTTGAATTAAACGTTTTTGATCTCTTAATAAAACGGATTAGTGGTCCTGAAAAGGACCGATTGGTGTCAACATAAATTCTACATTTTCTTTTTAACCGCCAAAACCGTACAGGGTACGGCCTTGTCTTTTCAGCGCGTAAACAACATCCATGGCTGTGACTGTCTTCCTCTTGGCGTGCTCGGTGTATGTGACCGCATCACGGATAACATTTTCCAAGAAAACTTTTAGAACACCACGAGTTTCCTCATAAATAAGACCAGAAATACGTTTTACGCCACCACGACGAGCTAAACGGCGGATAGCTGGTTTCGTGATGCCCTGAATATTATCACGCAACACTTTGCGATGACGTTTGGCGCCGCCTTTACCCAAGCCTTTGCCACCTTTACCACGACCAGTCATTTTTCACTTTATATTTTTATTCTACTTTACACCACGAATGTCACAAAGATACTAATGCTAGCTCTTCAGCCAGCGCTTATATTTATACCAAAAATATCCAAAACTCGAGCGAGTAAAAAAATATTTCCATCTCGCTCACACACTACCCTCGTAACATATTCGGCAAAGCGACGAACAGCAAATATCTTTCGTTCTCTTTCTAACTTATCACGTATTTTCTATATAAGCGATACACAAACGAGACGAACGGTTATTGTGTTTTTAACAGTGACTGTGTAAAGTTAGAATTGTGAAAGAAAGATGGCTCGTACTAAGCAAACTGCTCGTAAATCAACTGGAGGAAAGGCTCCTCGGAAACAGTTAGCTACTAAGGCAGCACGTAAAAGTGCTCCAGCAACTGGTGGTGTGAAGAAACCTCATCGCTATAGGCCAGGCACTGTTGCCCTGCGTGAAATTCGTCGCTACCAGAAGAGCACGGAACTGCTTATTCGCAAGTTGCCGTTCCAGCGTTTAGTACGCGAAATTGCTCAGGACTTCAAGACCGACTTACGTTTCCAGAGCTCGGCTGTGATGGCTTTGCAGGAAGCTAGCGAAGCCTATCTAGTTGGCCTATTCGAAGATACAAATTTGTGTGCTATCCACGCTAAGCGTGTCACCATCATGCCCAAGGACATTCAACTGGCCAGACGTATTCGTGGGGAGCGCGCTTAAGTTATACCTCATCCTTAAAACATAAATATCAAACAAATCGGTCCTTTTCAGGACCACAAAATATTCTAAACAAGGAGATTGATATTTTCCAATATACAACTTGAAATATGTACATCATACCAAAAAAGACAACAACACATTGTGACAGAAATAATCTAAAAAAAAAAAACGATTTTCTGTCACCGAATTTTATTTGCAATATCATGCTCGAAAAACTACGCGTTTGCCTATTGAAACATTTTTCAGCTAGAATTCCAGAAGAGAGCTGATGGATTATTTGCAAAAGATATTACTAGTCGGAAGATTTTTATTCGGGTAGTTTGGAATACTGATCCTTTGCTGTAGCCAACGGATAATAAGTTATCTTTTTTATTTCGAAAACAGAGTGCTTGTATTCTAAAATAACGAGTCCAAACTTTCGTCGATTACAATTGTTAATTTTCTGAAAGATATATCTATATTCTGATATTTAAAAATATTTTAAATTCCTTGAAAAGGCGATTTGTGGCCCTGAAAAGGGCCTTTTGCTTTTGTTTGCTTCCCGTACAATGTACATCTAGCTGAATTTTACTTGGAGCTGGTGTACTTTGTAACTGCTTTTGTTCCCTCACTGACAGCGTGCTTGGCCAATTCGCCGGGCAGCAAAAGACGTACTGCGGTTTGGATTTCCCGACTGGTAATAGTTGAGCGTTTGTTGTAGTGAGCCAAACGGGAGGCCTCGGCAGCAATACGCTCGAAAATGTCGTTAACAAAGCTGTTCATTATGCTCATCGCCTTTGACGAAATGCCGGTGTCAGGGTGGACCTGCTTGAGCACTTTGTAAATGTAGATAGCATAGCTTTCCTTCCTCTTGCGCTTCTTCTTCTTGTCATTCTTGGTAATGTTTTTTTGAGCCTTACCAGCCTTTTTGGCTGCCTTCCCACTTGTTTTCGGCGGCATTATTATTCACAAACGTTCACTTTAATTCACTTCACAAATGTTTGACACTTGGGGTGTGTTGCTTCGCATTTATACTTTTTTTCGAGCGACGCTTTCATGTTTATATCACGTTCAACTCGCATCTCTAAAACTGAAGAAGTAGGTAGTTGGAAAAAGTATAAATATAATGGATATGTGGTTGGATGTCAGAAACATTCGATAGTTGTGTGTAAGCGTGTGAAACAGTGAAATAAGGAAAATACGAAAATGTCTGGTCGCGGTAAAGGTGGAAAAGTGAAGGGAAAGGCAAAGTCGCGTTCTAACCGCGCTGGTCTTCAGTTTCCCGTTGGTCGTATTCACCGCCTCCTTCGTAAGGGCAACTATGCTGAACGTGTTGGTGCCGGTGCTCCTGTCTACTTGGCTGCCGTTATGGAATATTTGGCCGCTGAAGTTTTGGAGTTGGCTGGCAATGCTGCACGCGACAACAAGAAAACTAGAATTATCCCTCGCCACTTGCAATTGGCCATTCGTAACGATGAGGAGTTAAACAAACTGCTTTCGGGCGTCACCATTGCCCAGGGCGGTGTTTTACCCAACATCCAAGCAGTTCTGTTGCCCAAGAAGACGGAAAAGAAGGCATAATTTGCTAGTTAACTAAACAAAAAAAAAAAAAGACAGCGTATACATTTGTAAATAGTCGAAACCAACCGTCCTTTTCAGGACGACCAAAAATATTAAAAAAGAGATTATCTTTTCATTCGATAGGGTATCCGAAATCGATTCAATAATACAAAGTACATCTCAGCTCAAAAGTACAGTCGTGCTAGTCGCTAAAAATGTGCAAATTGTCCTATCGAATGCGGTTGTCATACGTTTGTGATGGATTAAAAACAAGCACAAAATATGTAAAACAAACGAACATCGGTGATTCTGGTCGATTAATGGAGCAGTGTCGGGAGCGGTTGATTCTGAGATGGAGAAACGTTTGACGCTTGAATACATCACATTTTAGACATTCATATGATCTGTGCTTGCTTCTTTCATTAAGGTTGAATTAAACGTTTTTGATCTCTTAATAAAACGGATTAGTGGTCCTGAAAAGGACCGATTGGTGTCAACATAAATTCTACATTTTCTTTTTAACCGCCAAAACCGTACAGGGTACGGCCTTGTCTTTTCAGCGCGTAAACAACATCCATGGCTGTGACTGTCTTCCTCTTGGCGTGCTCGGTGTATGTGACCGCATCACGGATAACATTTTCCAAGAAAACTTTTAGAACACCACGAGTTTCCTCATAAATAAGACCAGAAATACGTTTTACGCCACCACGACGAGCTAAACGGCGGATAGCTGGTTTCGTGATGCCCTGAATATTATCACGCAACACTTTGCGATGACGTTTGGCGCCGCCTTTACCCAAGCCTTTGCCACCTTTACCACGACCAGTCATTTTTCACTTTATATTTTTATTCTACTTTACACCACGAATGTCACAAAGATACTAATGCTAGCTCTTCAGCCAGCGCTTATATTTATACCAAAAATATCCAAAACTCGAGCGAGTAAAAAAATATTTCCATCTCGCTCACACACTACCCTCGTAACATATTCGGCAAAGCGACGAACAGCAAATATCTTTCGTTCTCTTTCTAACTTATCACGTATTTTCTATATAAGCGATACACAAACGAGACGAACGGTTATTGTGTTTTTAACAGTGACTGTGTAAAGTTAGAATTGTGAAAGAAAGATGGCTCGTACTAAGCAAACTGCTCGTAAATCAACTGGAGGAAAGGCTCCTCGGAAACAGTTAGCTACTAAGGCAGCACGTAAAAGTGCTCCAGCAACTGGTGGTGTGAAGAAACCTCATCGCTATAGGCCAGGCACTGTTGCCCTGCGTGAAATTCGTCGCTACCAGAAGAGCACGGAACTGCTTATTCGCAAGTTGCCGTTCCAGCGTTTAGTACGCGAAATTGCTCAGGATTTCAAGACCGACTTACGTTTCCAGAGCTCGGCTGTGATGGCTTTGCAGGAAGCTAGCGAAGCCTATCTAGTTGGCCTATTCGAAGATACAAATTTGTGTGCTATCCACGCTAAGCGTGTCACCATCATGCCCAAGGACATTCAACTGGCCAGACGTATTCGTGGGGAGCGCGCTTAAGTTATACCTCATCCTTAATATCAAACAAATCGGTCCTTTTCAGGACCACAAAATATTCTAAACAAGGAGATTGATATTTTCGTATCAATATATTAAATACCGAAAAATATTGGTTAAAAGTCAAACTAAACTGCATTTTCATTTTGTCTTGAATAAAAAAAGCTCGGACCTCGAGCCTGCCAAACAAACAATTTTGAAATGGAAAGGTCGCCAAATACAACATTATATTAAATAGCTTTATAAAATGTGACAATAAGCGAATAGGGCATTACAGTATTTGCTTCACCTCATTGTATCTTAACGATAAATCCATATGCATATTATTTAATATTTAACCGAAAACTCAACTCCATTATATTCCACCGACAAAATATATGTCGATGTATAGATGATTTTCTGAATAGCTATATAAAGCATTTGGTTTGGTCCTCATCACCGCAAATAAACATAATTTTTAATTTTTCATCAATCAATTGTGCTCTAAGAGATAATTTCTGAATTTCGAAAATAAATTAACTAAGGGTCTAATGGATTTTTCGCTACACAGAAATGTCATATGGATTTCGCATGATATTTTATTAATTTAGTTTCAACTATATTAACAATTTGTTTTACTAAATGGAATAATCTTTCATTTCCTTTTTTTTTTTAATTTATATTAACTGTTAAAGACAAAATTAGATTTGTCTGAAGCGTTTTATATTGATTTCATTGTAAACTTGCCTGTTTTTAACAGCTAAGGGTTATGTTAAATAGATATTTAAAATAGTAGACTTAAGATATATTTAAATTAATAGTTGAATTTAATTAAAGAATTGTTGAAATATTGTATATAAATGCATAATATTTCAAGATTCGTTATATTATTATTAATAATCGTGTTTTTTGCTCGAAAACGTTTTTCGCCAAGACACAAAGTTAAACTTTGACTGGCAATTAAAAATCATAAAATCATGTTAAATACACTAAATAATTTATATTGTATTGTTTGAATATTAAACAAAACATTCCAATTCATATTCACAACGATTTCCAAGTATAAACTTTTGTAAATGACCATTTAACAAGTATGTAATGACGACGCATTGAGTAACAAACGTTCAATACCAAAAACATTCTCGTACCACCGTCCTCCTCGATTCTCACGCAAACGGGTGACCAAAAAAATATGAATTTTTTCGAAAATTAACAAGTGAACAGTGAATAAAGTGAAGTTAAGATGTCTGATTCCGCAGTTGCAACGTCCGCATCTCCTGTGATTGCCCAAGCAGCGTCAGGCGAGAAAAAGGTGGCTACTAAAAAGGCAGCAGCCGCCACACCAAAGTCAAAGAAGTCAGCAGCTCCTCCATCGCACCCACCAACTCAGCAAATGGTAGATGCATCGATTAAAAACTTAAAGGAACGTGGTGGCTCATCCCTTCTGGCAATTAAAAAATATATCGGTGCTACATACAAGTGCGATGCCCAGAAGCTAGCCCCGTTCATTAAGAAGTACCTAAAGAATGCGGTTGCGAATGGAAAGCTGATCCAAACAAAGGGCAAGGGTGCCTCTGGTTCGTTCAAACTATCTGCATCCGCTAAAAAGGATCCCAAGCCAAAGGCCTCCGCTGTCGAGAAGAAAACTAAGAAGGTAAATGCTTCGGCGGCAGCAGCAACTAAAAAGAAGAGTAGTACATCTACCACGAAGAAAGCAGCGGGTGCCGCTGATAAAAGGCCATCAAAATCGGCAGCAACCAAAAAGAGTGTTGAGAAAAAGAAGGCGGACAAAGCAAAGGCTAAGGATGCGAAGAAAACGGGAACCATTAAGGCCAAGCCTACAACAGCAAAGGCTAAATCAAGCGCAACAAAGCCAAAGACCCCAAAACCTAAGACCACAACTGCTAAACCGAAGAAAGTCGTGTCGGCTACGACCCCGAAGAAAACTGCTGTCAAGAAGCCAAAAGCGAAGACTGCATCTGCAACGAAGAAATAATTTGAAATTGCTAACTGCTCGTCAGCATGTGCAAATTTCTAATATTGAAATTTGTTTTTCAACAAAGCCCTTTTAAGGGCTACAAATACGATTTTCTAAGAGAAAGAATTTTTCTTTTTGTCTGCATCTGTAAATATTGGAATTGGAATTGTTGTTGATTATTAACTTATCGCTTATTACTCATCAATTACATATTATGCACCTTTAGTTTTATCTCTTTCCAGACTACAGCATAAAACTCCAATTCGACAGTGCACATCCATCCGGTTGTCTAAGCGGTCTACATTCTACTATTGCCATCAGATGCAATTAACCAAAAATATTTATCAGTTACAAAAAAGTTTTGTTTGTATACCTTTCATTTTGTTGCATCTTTACAATATTAAGAGCGTGTGCGGCCTTGTAATGAACCATTTGCTATTGAAAAATGTGTACGATCTACAGCTGGTATAATTAGTATTAACTGTAGCTAGTATAATTACACACCATACTCAAAACTCTACAAGATCCCAAAGACGAAACGAGTAGACACCGCAACAGTATAAATCAACAATACTAGATAGCATAGAGCAGGTCCGGATCCCGTTCGGGTTCTCAACAGACCATCTAACTAAAGGCCATATAAACAGTCTCAAAGAGAAGGGCATAATACGCAACTCTCAGAACAACCTAATTTTCTACCATAGAAAAAGGCAGTCTATCGACCCTTACGACCCTAACTCGCGTACAACGTTAAAGAATAAAAACGAAATGCTCATTTTATTATTTGTCGCAACATATGTATCTTCTCCCTTTCTCTCTATCTCCTTTTTATACCCTGAACCCATTAAAAATGGGTATAAGGGTATATTATATTTGTTCAAAATCCAAATGTATGCACAGGCAGAAGGAAGCATCTCAGACCCCATAAAGTATATATATTCTTGATCAGCACCAATATCCGAGTCGATCTAGCCATGCCCGTCTGTCTGTCTGCCTTTCTGTCCGTATGTATGAACGCAAGGATCTCAGCACCTATATGAGCTAGAGACTTGAAATTTTAGATGTAGGTGCTCCTAGTGACGCGCAGATCAAGTTTTTTTCCGATAATCGATAACTTCCTCCGCTTCCAAGCAATCACCAAACTTGACATATAGCTTCTAAAATAGAATATATATTAATTTGATGTTGGAAGAAGAGGGTTCAGGGTATCACCTAGTCGGGAGCTCTCGACTAGAACCTCTTACTTGTTTTTATTTTTAAGGTAAGGCTGCATCGTCACGTCGTGGTTGGAGGAGGCCTTAAAAGATATTCTCTTGAGCCTCCTGACTACACACCTCCCAGCGAGGTCTCTTGCTACCCGGTTGCAGTATCGCGTGCAAGCGTTCGTTGTATCAGTTGGCGAATGCTTCGACTTGGCTGTCTATAGTCTCCATTTGCTCCTTTTGCTGTTTCCTCAGCAATCTAAGTAGCTTAGCTGGCTGGTCCTTCTCGCTGGCTAGCGCTGTTCTCTTTGCTGAATGCAGGTAGTCCTCTTCTGGTGGCAGCGGCGTATGAATGCCCTTCTACTTGTTCAGTGGGTGCTGTACGGTGGAAGTCAACAGGTGTAGGCCCATGAACATTGTTGCTGCGGCTTCGGTTCGCTTGAGTCGGTGGGAGACTTTTCATTTTGGCGGGCTTTGGAGCTCCCGCACGCTTTGTATATTCGGTGAACTACTAGCAACCTTTATAGTTGGCAGGGTGGTTACCAGCGCAGTGGGCGCAGTGGGAACTGAGTCGGGCCGTGTGAAATCGGCAGTGCGATGATTAAGCCAGCATTTTACGCATTTGTATTGTTTTCGGCAGTATGTGGCTGCGTGCCCGTGCACTTCGTGCACTATCCACGCAGCTACGCAGGTCGTCGTTGAGCTCTCGGTTGAGTGTGGCGTGGTGAAAGTCTTTGATGACTATGCTGTAGGGCTTTTCCTCCTGGAGCTGGTATGAATAGAATTGTATTTCTGGTTCTTCCAGTTTCTTTATGATGGCCCTGTATGTGGGCACATCATTGGCTAGGAGTTGCATGGTCCGACCTAGGTTGGACTTGATGGTCAGGTTGTCCAAGTCCACTACTTCAGATAGTATGAGCCACACGTCGTTGATGTCATCAATGTCATTTAGGACGATGAGGGGTGGCTTTTTTCCTCCAGTGGGGGCATTGTTGTTGGCCCTTTCTTCGGGCACGGAGGAGCTGGTACTGGCATGGGCGACGGCGTTGGGATGGCTGCCGCCCTCAACCTGAGGAGTCTTTGAAGCAGGAAAGTTCTCTTCTTGGGCTGAGCTTATCTGCTCGGCCACAGATTCATTAGTCTCCATATCTTTGTTGTTTTCGTGTGGCGCCAAGAGAGGATATGGCTGTATGTATTTGAACTGGACTGGTGTCAGTCTTGTTCTGTTTTCGCCGCGCAGAAGGTGGGGACCTGCTGTCAAAGACTTTGCGCCTATCGTTTTTTTTTGTCTGTGATTGAATTAGGCGAGCCGCAGTTGCAGCGTGTGAATTGGGTTTGATGATATCTATTATATGCACTAGGGTGTCAACGGGGTCTCTATTCACATGATCACCAGCATGTGGACTGCTGCCGGGGTCGTCGGTTGCACAAGTTTGGAAAAGTGTCGAACATGTGAATGTGAAGCCGCGTCAAATGCGTGTCTCGAAACACAGCAAACGCGAGTGTGGATACGCGTCAAACACGAGTGCTAGTGCATGATCAAACTGGACCCTTAAATATTACGGCCACAAGTGACAAACAATGATCGCAACCTTCGGAAAAATTAAATTAGACAGAAGTGCCAAAGAGCAAAAAAGTAAGTCGGCATTGCACCTAAAAACCATGATGACGATGATGTGGATGAAATCCACAGAATACCACTTAATTATGGAAGAGCTAATGCGTCTTCGGGAAACATAAAGGAATCCAAGGACGTCGATGATGAGCCGGAGGAAACCGCTGCAGTAGCCCCAACTGAACCAAGGAGGGAATTACCTGGACCACCGCGTCAAAACTACCCATTA